CCATACAAGTTCTGTTTCTGGTTTGAATGATACAAGAAACAACCATGGCACTGAGAAACCATAGAACAGACCTCTGTGCTCGTGGTTTCTCAAAACTAAATGCACCATGGGGAAATACCACAACAGGGTTTGACTGACACAACAAGCCACAAAGGGTAAAAACATCCTTCCCATTACCTGTAATGTACAAAGCCAATCATCATACCAAAACTTAATTTCTCTCCATTTTCTGCTACCCAGGCTTGCTCCTAATAAGAGGAATACCCAAGGTCTACAGAAATATAACTCGTAGTAGCAATAGGTAAAACCTTTTCCTGGACCATACAGAACTTCTGCCAGGTTCTGTTAGATAGTACTGAATTGCACCAGACTTTTTGCAACAAGCTGGAACTTTTGTAAGCATCTGATTGGAATGATTTCAAAGGTGTGGCACTTTGGGGGGCAAAAACTAGATCCATAGCATCTGTGCACATGGCTCTTTACAAAGTAACATAAGCAAAAGGCAGGCCAGTGTACCAAGAAGTTTACAACCTTAATTTTGACACTGTAACCACAGTATGATCATAATTTGTCTAGGAAAATGGCACCATAAAATATCCAGGTGTCTTCTGTGCACATGAACTGCAATCCCCACTGTGCAGCTTTGTTACCGTTCCCTGAAAAATATCTTGGATGGCCATAACCGCAGTTTGCTTGCTTGCTTGCTGTGACTTTATGGAGATATATCTCTATGCTGTTGATTCTTGACTGTCTTAATTTAGTTGTTGGTAGTTATATTCTGGGATATCTGCATGCCGTATGAAGAAACACCTGCAAATCAACTTGCAGGGTGCAAAGGCAAATTTTCCTGGCCCTTTGGCAAGCATGTTACAAGCCTCCTCTGAATTTCCATTGCCATTTAAGTAGGGTAAGAAGTCAAAGAGTCTCTTCTGAAAAACAGCACGGGTTTCACCAGTTTCTTAGTTTCTCCATGATCTAAGAAGGTGCCCCTTTATCTGTCTGAAAAACTATCTGTGTGTCTGTGTTTGTGCATAACACTCATTCTTCCACATGTGCCAATCAGCTTAGGGATGAGCAAGTTGGTGGCATTACAAATAATAGTTGGGTAATAAGTGAATAAATAATTTTTGTAATTTTAAGTGTGGTTTTTTTTCTTTTTGTTTAGTCACAACGTCATGCCCAACCCATCACAACCCCATAGATAACATTTCTCCAGGCCTTCCTGTCCTCCACCATCCCCCAGAGTCCACTTAAGCTCACACCAACTGCTTCAGTGACTCCATCTAGCCACCTCAACCTCTGCCGTCCCCTTCTTTTGCCGTCAATTGTTCCCAGCATTAGGGTCTTCTCCAATCAGTTGTTCCTTCTCATTAGGTGAATGAATTAGGTGAAACTCATTTGAGTTTCATCTTCAGTATCTGGCCTTCTAAAGTGCAAATTTTGAGGGTAGTAAGTGAATAAATATTTTTTTGCAGTTTTGATATCTGCTAATAAAAAAATTCTTGTTCTGATAGACTTTCTTGCTCATTGTTCTTGGAGTTGTTCTGTTAGACTCGAACTACTTTATTCAGTGTTCATATATAATTTGTCTTTCAGCAGCCCCTAGTGTCATAATTCGTGACAATTTGACATTTGTTTTTATGCTTAAAAAAGAACTATTTGCAATCACTTATCAGTCATCAAGACTTGGGAATATATCTACATATTATGCAGTCTGGTTCAAAATGCAATTTAGAAAATGGTTCTTTGTTGATAAACAAACTCAAAAAGTTAGGTGGGGCAGCACAGGCTGAAAGGAAAACAATGGAATTAGCCATTTGGCTAGTCTGACCTTTTTCCATAAGGTAGAATTTTGTACTAAGCTAAAGCTGTATTGAAAATTGAGTCTGATTTTTGTTAAGATTTGTATTCTGATAAAACAGTATGATAAGGTACAAAGGGGAAACCATTTCTGAATAACCATCAGTTCTGATTTGTCAATTTCTACAATGGATCAAGTCCATTAATTTATCCAACCTTACAATCTTAATCTCAACTGGAAGAGTATAGAATTGAACTGTCTTCCAAGTAACAGATGATTTGGAAATGAGATAGCATACTGACTTGTACAGGGGCCACTACTTCTATTAGACAATTATTTATTGAGATATTGTTGACACAAAAAAGAGACTGTTGTTGGCACTGAATGGCAACAGATCCCAGGGATTTAAGGCAGGGTTCTTTCCTGCCCTAACTAGTGATGCAGGAATCAAACCTGGGAACTTTTGCATGCAAAGAATGGGCTCTGCCACAGGGCTGCATTCAGAAAGATGAAAACAGTGAAGGATGGTCAGAATAATGCAGTACACAATCTTTGTACACAAACTGTAACCGTTGCGTGATGGAATGGGAGTCTGCCTGAGCCGTGTATGTCCATCTTCCATCTCCAGATACAAATGCTTTGGTAAGGTTACTGGGTGTTACTGACCATTAACCAATAGGTTCCCACAATGTCATAGTCGAGGTTTCTTTCTCCACTTTGAGGTTTGTTGTCTAACTTCCTTTTCCAAATACAGGAAACAAAAAATAATATTGCAGAAGCACATATAGCAAGCTTTCCTCACCCTAACTTCTAGAACATAGCGTAATTCTAAAATGCAAAAAATCACGCAGCAGATGACCAGTTTTAGAAAAAGATTGCTTGAATGCTAAAGAACATGTCATAGGCACAGTATAAACAAAGCAAAGGAGTTTAGTTCAGTAGGGACAGCTCTGTTTTCTTGATTCTCTTGAATTTAAAGTTGCAATGATGTAAGATGTGAACATTGAGCTGACATGTTGTATTGGAGTGGCAGCCCAATATATCTATTTTTAGCTTTTCAGGTTAAATTCACAATGCTAAATGTTACCTGTTCTCCCCAAATTGACTAAAGAGATACTGTACTGTTTCTCCTGATCTTACTTCTTTATGGTCTCTTAAACTTCCTGTAATGCAAACGGTAATATTTCAGGTATGCGAGCAGAGACAAGCCGTGTATTTGTTTTGTTTCCTCAATACAGATACTGACATTGCTGGGACATACAGTGATATGGAGGAACTATTTTGAGCATTGACATGCAAATTAATACACTAAGCAATTAGATGTAATTAAAACAAGATCAGTGTAATTAGAAGCTGTTTTGTTCTAATTTTATTCAGAGAAGTTTGACATATTGAAAAAAAGAACTCCCAGGCTTATTGAGATGCAAGCAATCATAGTAACAGCAACAGTTCCACATAAAAGTAATATGACTTAGCTGAGTATCCAGGTCAAAAAGTAAGAACCAAAGGGCAGAAGTTGTCTTTACAGATGGGAATGGGACAGTTCCTTGAGTGCCAATTTTGGTGAAAAGGTAAGGGACAAATCAAATAAAGGAATACATACTGTGGTTCTGCAAGCACTAGGTGAATTTCAGGGTTTAGTACTTATGACTTAAGTTGGATGAGTTGTAAACAGTGCAAGTCAAAGCCTTCCAATATTGACAGAAATACCCTGCAATGTGGACTGCCTCCTGTGTACTCATACAAAAAGATAAAAAGGGTTGGAGGCATCTTCCACTCACATGTGTGAGTGGAAAGCACTTCCATACGTGCATAGCAGGGTCACTGATCCCTTTTCCCAAGCTATATTCCCATGCAAAAAGCTAGGTTAGAGGGTTCAGCAGCTTTTACTGTGACTTCTGGGAGGCAATGCCTGGAAGAACTGCCAGAAGATGGGCAGGAATAAAGCTTTTCTGCTGAAGCCTACGCAATTCTACACTACGTTGCATCCAAAACAAAATAGTCAGTGAACAGTATTATGTATTCTATTTCTAATTCATGGTGATTGAAATTCAGCAGGCACTATCCATTACTGCCTAGAAATTTGCAGCATCCACTGCTAGAGCAATGGAAACCTATAAATTCCCAGCTAATAAGAAAAGAGGGAAAACACCCATTTCTGGAATGGTGCCATTCAGCCAGGCTCACCAAAGGGAGCTCTGCTGACCTGTCCTATACCATAAATGAGCATTCCTTTTGAGAGTACTAGCTTCTCATCCTGTGCTAGCAGGATGCCCCAAGAGGAGCCGGCAGTGGCAGAATGGCAGGGTTGGATGCATCCTGTATTTATAGAATTACTGCTCATTTGACCACATTTGCACTTGCACTTTATGGGATTGTTCTTATGCTTGACTGGCGGTTCTTTATGAGATGGCTTCAGCACAAATATGTAGCAGCCCACTCTGTCCTGTTTGCTAGATACTTTGTGGTTAAAGTCACTAGTGAACATTCAAGTTCGGAGGTAGAGGTAATGCAGAACCCTTGGATGTACCTTTCGACTGTGCATTCTTTTTCATTCAATTCGTCCTAAAATCATCTTAAAATTAAACAGCAGCCCTGATCCCTGCAGCAGATACCAGGTTGCAGAGATCCACAAAGCTTTCAGTTTGTACCTATTATTGGCATGAGATATGGTTAATTAATGGTTAATTAATGGTGAATTAAATATATAAATTGTTTGTATTAAATAAAATAAATATGATTCTAACACTTTTTATTTATGATATGGAAATGTAATTCATTGTGTGTCCCCCGGGTTCCATGTCCAAGTCCTCATGTTGCCCTCGGGGGATGAAAAGTTGGAATACTCTCTCATAGATCATTTCCAGTCAGCTGCCAATATCCCTTTTCAGTCTGCCTTTATCTGTTGATTGCATATCTACAGTACTCCTCATCCAAAGTGGATAGTGGAGCATGAAGTCTGGTTGTCGTCTTAGCAGCTGCACTGTAACAGGACCTGGACAGGGAGCGTGTTGGTTCCTGCTGCACCTGCCAGTGGCTTGTGTTACCACTGCCCACTGAATCTAAAGCAGCAGGTCCTGAAGGCAGCCAGCGACCACCAGGAACACTGGCCATTGAAAGCATTCTACTCTGTGCACGAATTGAGGCTAAGCACATTGTTTCGTAGCAAACTTTCTCTTCTCCCTATTTTTCTCCATAGGTTGTATATGTAACTGCTACATTCCCTTACATCATGCTCTTGATTCTGCTGATTCGAGGAGTAACATTACCTGGAGCCTCTGAAGGGATAAAATTCTACTTGTACCCTGACCTATCTCGACTTTCTGACCCACAGGTAGGACTGAAAAACCTAACAACCAATGTAAATAACAATGCTTTTGGGCTCACCTGATTGCTATATTTCTTTAATTTCAAGGTGGTGGTGAAGGAGCACCACTGGGACTGATTTGAAAAAATTCTCACTGGTTTTAATCCAAGGCAAGGTTTTCTTGCCAGAGTAAGCCCTGGAGCTTTTGGTTTTGTATCTTTGCTGCAAAACCCAGGCCTGGGTGGAGCTATGTCCTTAAACCTAAGCAGCCTACTCCATATACAGAGCAGCCTGAAGTGCCTGATCCTGCCTAATCTTGGAAGTCAAACAGGGTTGGACCTGCTTGATAGGTGATTTAAATGTTGTGAACCGCCCAGAGTGCTTTAACTATGGGTGGTATAAAAATGTAATATCATAATAAAACATAACACTCACCTCTCCTCCCTGGCATAGTTTTGCAGTCATCTTTCAATTGTGTGTCTTATTTTTTTTTTCAAAGCAATCAAGTAATGTTTAAATGCAGAAATCTTATGACTGTTTTGACAGAAAAAGTCCTACCCAGTGTTTTCCAGTAAGCCATATTTTTTGTTGAAGAACAAGAATGTCAGTATCCTGGTGCTGCTGTGTTCACTTTTCCATCTGAAAGCCTACAATTGCAATGATGCACGGCTAAGATATACCTAATTGAAAGAGAGTCCAGCATTCAGTTTTTTTCTTTATAAACCAATTCTTCAAGTAACTAGCTTTTTCAAAAAAATTGTTTTAAATGTATGATACAGATAACTTTTAGCCCTGAATTACTGAAAGCAACTATGGAAGCTTAATATAGAGAGATGTTTGCATATATTTAGCTTTCTCCTGCAATCAGTTCAATGTCAACTTGTACTACATAAGAAAAATCCTTGATGTTTTGATTCAGAGGCAGGAGTGCAGTATTCAGCTGAAACATTATGCGGGGAGAATATCCTTTCTAGAACATTGACCACGCTGTTGCCCCCTCACTTTTTTAAAGGCAGGTTTGTATTAATACAGCACATAAAAGGCAGTCACACACATATGTGCATAGCTGTGATAAGATAAATGAAAGCATTAGCTAGCTCATCCTAAAAAGGTAAGACCCTGCATTCCACTCTGAAGAGATGGCATAAGTGAGTCAACAGAGGTGGTTTGCAAGGCAAGAAAGGAGAGGCACCACAGCAGAAGTTTAGAGGAGGTGTGCCACATAGCCCTTGGGAAAGGTGCAAAGAGTTGGCACGAGGAGTAAGTGAGAAACAAACCATGACAAGCCTTGGAGAAGTTGATCATCTGTCAAGTTGATAATCTGGTTTAGCAATGGAATAAGCTTCTGAGAGGCTTGCTTATCATGACATGTGAACCACACTGGGCATGATAACGCATTGTGCAAATAAGCCCCACAATGGATGAGTTTGCACAACATGAGAAGGCATGGTGTGGGTCTGTTGTGCTGTCTGGGCCCAGTTCTGGAGTTCCTGCATGGTAGGATCTGCAACCATGGAGAGAAGCAGCGCTTTGATCTAAGGTTTCTACATTCCACCGCAGCTTCTCTCATTGTCTAGACCCAGGATCACAATTGCACCAGTCTTGGCATGGAAACAACATATCACCATGATGGTTGCATCTAGTGTTCAGCCTCCACTGCTCCAGCTCTCTAGCAACAGATATGCTATTGCACTTTTTACCAGCTTAATTGTGCCATCCAATGCATGACCACTCAGAAGTAAGTCTCATTTAATTCAGTCAGACTGGCTGCCAGATGTGTGTTTATAAAGACTACAGTTTTAGAAGTGCTGAGAAGAAACTTGGCAGAACTGGTCTTTTTATTATTATTTTCTATTGTATAATAGGGCTGTCATTTTCATTGGTTTATCTGGTAGGTTAATAATTTCATTTATTAATTAGTGGAGGACAATTCTAATTAGTGAACCAACAAACTTTAATTGGTTGAGCTGAAAAGGCCATGCATGGTTGAGCTGTGAATAAAGGACAGACTAATTTTTGTAGCATTGTGCTATGATAATAGGAAAGGAGAAAAAGCATTGAAGATGGCCTTTTTTTCTTGACTCACGGCATTTTGTATATAAATTATGAGCTATGTTTTTCCAGTATTTCAGAGACACTACTATTGACCTTCTAGTTGCATAGAAATATACTTGGTTTAATTTTGGTTAAAAGAAAGACAATGATGAACTATGAACTATGGTTTAATTGGTTGACTACTGGATGTAAATGAATTTTATATTACTGATTTTTCATACTATCCAACAGCTGAAGCTCTCTGTTAATAAAACATAATATAAAATCTCTAACATGCAATATATGTATAATATTTAAAACAATATAAACAACTAAAACAGTTGTAGTAAAATAATGGACATGAGAAAAACAACTGGCATGATTCTTTGATTGTTTTTCTTGATATGGGTGCTTTATTGTTCATTAGCCACCATGTTTACAAGGTAAATCAGTAAGTTAAAACTGCATGTACATAATCTGAGTAGACTAATAAAATAATTTCATTTTCAAAGGGCAGGATCCAATGGGCAGCTTGTTCCCCACCAATGTCTGCTGCCCCTCCAGGCTCTTGTGTTCTGTCCATAGAGCCAAAGAAGCAACAAGCCACAGATCTTCAGGAGTAAACAGGCATGAATCTCTTCCTCAGCAGTTTCACAACCAGACTGCCTACTGCTGAGGAAGAGATTCATGCTGATTAGAGATAAGTTTTTCCCTGCCACACATTGGGCAGGTTTCCATGTCATGACAAGCAAGGGTAGGGGGTTGCAACAAATGGTGGTAATTTACCATGTTTTCTCCAATAGATGATCACAAACCCCAGCTGGTCCAATCCTTTTCTGCCTGCCCCACATCCTCTGATTCTTGCCATGCAACCTGGAGTGAGCAAAATCCCCTTCATTACTCATTTCTTCCCTAGTGACCTCAGCTGCCTCTTCCTGTCTGCTTAGATTTTGAGTTGGGTTCTCCCTGTTGCCCCACCTGACCGTACTTCTATGTTTTTAATATGTTCTAGACAGTCCACTCCCAGTTTTTTTAAACATCAAATTAAACACTTTTGCTGCCATTCTCCTTCTTCCTCTAGGTTTTTACTTGCTTTCTTAGTGATATCACTAAGTGTGTGGAAATGACAGTATGGTAGGGAAATGGTGAGGAGAAGGGCCTTTTGCACTATCACACCTTGCTTGTGGAATAGTCTTTCCAAGGGGGTGTGTTTGGCACCCTTGTTACTGAACTTCCACCACCAGGTAAAAATGTTTTGATTTAACATTTGTTTTTAGTAGCTGCTTTGATTTTATTATTATTTGATATAAGTGCTGATTGCTCTGTATATCATGTGCTCCTGCCTTGTATATTATACTAATTGGATTTTATATTGTATGCTGAATTTTATAGTTTTATTCCACTTTATGGTTTTATTAATTTATGCGGATTGCTTTTATCTTCTTCATAAGCCACCCACAATGCTCTCAGGCTATGGGGCAGCATGCAAATGTGATGATAGACAGACAGACAGACAGATAGTTGGGGAAGCCTGGAAACTCTGACTTGGGACACCTTTTTCTGAGAATCAAAGGAATGATGTGACTGTATGCTGCACACAGCAGCATATATGGCAGGAGGAGAAACCTGAGTGCCTGCTCATTTTTGATACTGCTGTGGCATACAAATGTTTTAAATATATATAAATAATATATACTGAGAATCCTAGAATGTGCCAGTATCGCCTCATGTTGTGGCATTCATAGAAAATGGTATAATTGGTATAATTTTCCCTATGGATACTATGTGTGGGCGGAACGGGCGAGATTATGGCAATACTCTTGTAGACTTCGTGAAGCTCATGTAGATAGCTGTGAGCAAGTTTTCATGTGAGCTGGTCAGGTGGTGTGTAGAATATGACCCTGCCACTTCTGTGTTTGCATATTATAAGAGCAATTGCAATAGACGGTACTGCTTCAAAAGAGTGCCCCTGTTTGAGGTTCTGGCTAGACATTCCCAGCAAGTAGGAGCATGTCACTCTACACTCCACTGCTATTGAGGGTACTTCACACTGGCCTGGTTCTTGGGGTGTATACATGCATATTTTTAAGAAGATATCATGTACTGCCATAAACTTGGGGTTCCCCGAGCATGCCAATGTCTTGTTTTTCACTGGGCTCCATTTGGAATGGTGCTTACCAGCTGTGTTGCTGTAAGAAGAGATGATAGGAGGACCATTACCTCAAGGATGAATTAGCAGTGCAACTTACTTAAAACCTAGGTGGAAATGAACAGAGAGCTGAAGTACAAATTTGGGTCCAAATCCAGAGAGCCGTGTTAAATAAGTGATGCAACATAGGAATGGAATAGCGTGAGATTTCCAGCTGTTTTTTTTAGACCTTTCTAAATTATTTCCAAAAGCCTCTAAAGCTGGGTTGGGCAAAATGTGGATCCCATTATTTATTTGAAAATAAAAAGGCATCTATAGCCACTGCAAAGCTCCAAAAGGATTAAATCTAGCATGATGTGTGGCAGCAAACAGGCAATTTCAGCTGTTTTTCTTTGGGAGGGCACTGCACAAGCTGTGACCCACACCAAAGATCTGGGAGTCTGATTACCCTTTGCTCTGAAATATCTTGGCAGCACAGAGTGAGATTTTCCAGGGCTCACACAACAGGGAGACCCTTGATCTTTAGGGGATACCCAAACTCTTATTTATTTATTTATTTATTTATTATTTAGGAGACTTCTATGTCACCCCATTCGCCGAAGCCTTGGGGCGGCTCGCAACCATAAATAAACTTCAAAATAGAATAACATAAATTAACAATATAAATTAACAATATAAATTAAGTCGCCCTGGCCAAAGAATAAAATGAATAAATAATATTAACAATTAAAATAACATTTGAATAAAAAGGTCTTCGCCTGGCGCCGAAAAACAAATAACGATGGTGCCAGGCGGACCTCTCTGGGGAGCGCATGCCATAGATTGGGCGCCACCGCAGAGAAAG